TAAGAAAAAGAAACTTTTCTTAAGGAACTATTCCATGGCTCAGATTTCTAATTTTTTTTTTTAATATATTTACTCTGTACTACAGATTTTACTGTATTTGCAAGCAATGTGATTTACTCACTCTGTAGACTTCTTTGGTCTCCAAAACCCATAATTTGATTGTTCGACCAGCAGAAAGTAACATCTTCCCGTCTGGGCTGATACACAGGGAACTGACGCTGCTATTGTCACCTTTCCATTTGCTGTAAGGAGAAAAAAAATCTCAGTGAGGGATTTTTTTACTTAGAACAAACACAAATGAGGGGGAACCAAGATGGTGGCAGCTGGGGAAGCAGCAAGAGGAGGTGGAGGCGCAGCAAGCCACATTGAAAAGAACCATCATGGCCCTCCACAGCCTGCAGTTTATCTAGACCTAACAGTTAAACAGCTGACTACTGGTCTCCAATATGGATTGAGGCTCAACATCAAGAGGACAAAGATTCCTGAAAAAGCATGGGTGATTCCTGCTGCTGCCAGGCTCCTACCAGCAAGCCTGCACCACCACAGCCCTGTGGGGCCTCCTGACACCAGAGGTCCCCTCACTTAGGATAGGTACGATGGAGCCCCCGCATGGCTGCAGAATAAAGTTATTCTAAAAGAAATAGTCGGAACCAAGATGATGGCAGCAGGGGAAGTGATGTGAGGCGCTGAAGGCATGGCAAGCTGGCATGAAATGGGTCACCTTGCCCCTCCATAGCCTGCAGTTTATTTATACCAGAACAGTTAAACAGCTGACTACTGGTCTTCACTATGGATTAAGAGCAATGACGTCAGGCTGGAGACTAAGGTGCACCTGATCCAAGCTCTAATCTTAACAATTACGTGCTATGCATTGGAGAGTTAGACAGTGACTAGGGATGATAGAACTGATGCCTTTGAGCTGTGGTGCTGGAGAAGAGTGTTGAATATACCATGGACTGCTAGGAGAACAAACAGGTTTGTCCTGGAGAAGGTGAAGCTGGGCTGCTCCTTGGAGTCAAGGACTCTGAGGCTTCATCTGACATACTTTGGGCATGTTGCAATGAGGGACTGATCCTTGGAGAGGGACATCATGTTTATGAGAGTGGAAGGGCAGCGCAAGAGAGGAAGACCCTCAATGAGATGGATCGATTCTGTGAGTGGAGTGGTGGGAATGAATGTGCTTGAGACAGCGACGGTGGCACAGGGTAGAATGGCATTTAGGGCTCTCGTACACTGGGTCCCTATGAGTCGCAAGCAACTCGACGGCACACAATAACAACAACATCTCTTATAAGGCTCAGGGAGCCCAACTATCCACTTATAAAATGGGGGGGGGGGGCAAAACCCCATAGGAATCTAATTCATTAAAAGAAAAAAGCACTACTTTGTCAGTCACATCATAGTATACTAGTCATTGAGTAAAACAAAATCAGATTTTTCTCTATACTACACATAGCCAAGCATGATGCTCAAAAAGGTAGAGGGTTGACGAAAGAGAGGAAGATCCTCAATCAGGTGAATTAACACCGTGAGTGACTGCTACAATTTGTCAGGAAGTGTGATGATGGCGTAAGACAGGACACGGTTCAGATCAGTTGTTCATAAGTACGCTATGAGTCATACTCAACCTGACAGTGCCTAACAACAACTACACACATAAAAAAAATAATTGTAGGGCGCTCTGGTGGCCTAGTGGCAAGAAGCTGCACTGCAATCCCAGAGGTACACAGTTTGAATCCACCAGATGCTCTGCTCGAGGAGGGGCAATCTCCTCCTGTACCAGTCAGATCCGATTTGATGGTACACACAAAAAA